ATAATTTTGGTTTTATTGAAGCAAATAATAATACAAGCCCGACAATATTTCCTTATGAATCTAGACAAATGATAAACATTTGCATCACAATGAAGTATTTATGGTCTTAGTCTAACTTCCGTACTGTGTATTTCAAAAATCTGTCATGATGACTGTAGTAAGATTTTACTGACTCTTCTATCTCATCTTCAAATATATTCATCATTGGCTTCAAGGACTTTTAAAAACTGGTTGCAGCTCTAAGTTGTTAGAGGCAAAATAATAATAATACTAAAAACAGATTTCTCTTTTTCAAAAAACTTTTTAACCAGTCCATAAGGCTAAAAGTTCTGAATAGACTATTACAAAGTGTAGCTTAATATTTCCTTATTTTTTAAGCAAAGCCCGGTGAAAATCTTAGATAAATGTATCGATTATATATAAGCACATACTATGAAAAACTCATTTATTATAGGCTATCAATAATGACTTTTGACCTTCTCACAACTTCTCATAACTTATGATATGTTAATGACTCTCCTGGGGATATTGGAGAGGACCTTCATGGTGGCATTTCAATGTCACTGTAAGGAAGAAAGTTAAAAGAGGAATCTGAGACCAAAGTGGAGATGCTGAAAAAATCAGCCTGCTGAGAAAGAATTCAAAACAAGGAGGTGAGCAAAAGGAAAAGAATGGAGCTGGAGGGAAACAAGATTGGAATTCGAGCGCTGGATCAAGGAAGGTGATGAAAGGATGAGAGTACCCAGGATGAAGGTGGGGAGAGCAGCTGCAGGAAAGGACTATTGACCTGTGGTCAAAGCTGGGTCACATGAAATCAGTAGACCTGGGGCCTTGAAAGATAAGGACCTCACTTCTCCAAAGACCTGCAGAGTTGAGAGTAACCATTCTGTGTGGGCTGGGAATTGAAAAAGGACTATCAAGACACGACTGTGACGTAGGGTGTCAGGTTGTGGCTGGTCTCGCTACTAGGAGGGTAATGCAAATAAGGAGCTCGTGAAAGGGACTTCAGAATGCCTAGACCGTGTACCAAGGAAAAAGAGTATGGCGAGGCAGTTTGTAAGTTACCTTGGCTATATACAGTACCCCAATAGTACATATATATGTGTACCCCAGGATTCTCTTACTCAGTGCCCAGCTGTGAGTTGAAAAAGATGAGTGACCCAAACGAGCGGTGAAGGGAACACCAGAGCAGACAATTAAGGGAAAGGCTAGGGTTCCACGGGGATAGTCTTTCAACCACCAGTCAGTCTCTACCATTCCCCATCTCCCTTTGTTCCCCTGGTGTAGCTAGTCAAAAACAATCAGGATAATTTATGCTAGAAATGTCCCTGGACGTGGGAAATGCTATATTTAAATTCTGCACAAGAGTTAGCCTGTGCTCCACATTTCCCTGCCCTGTCTGGCCCCGTCTGTTTCTGACCTTACCCCCGTTGTCCTCCCTCCACCTGCCACCAAGCACCCGTGGTCACCACCACCCCTCTTTGTTCCCCATTAGGCTCCTTGCCACTTCAAACCTCCACGTGCTATCCCTCTGCCCAAACAAAGAGGGTGGAAAGCAGGATGTCGTGACACACTGAGGATATTTTAAAAATGCAAAGTGTTGCTACATATTCTTCGGCAAAAAAAGAGAGGCAGAGGATAAGAGCAGTGTTAAATGAATAATCTATACTTGCAATTATAACACAATATAGGCAGTACGTAAACCAATTATACTCCTGAATGCTTTCTATAACCTCAGTGAGTAGCTACTTTTAAATGTAAATATCTCCTGAATTGTAATTTTTCTAGTTTCTAAATGGAATGTTCAACTACCCTTCCTATCTACCAGCTCCAAGGGTTTTTTAAAGAGTACTGCGTATATCATTTATAAATCAGTGGGTTATATCATAGTACTGCTTTATTTCTAATATTACATTTGTTAATATAGCCCTTAAATATGTTTCAATGAGGTGCAGCATGGTATTCATACTATTTATGTCTTTTTCTTTACTAAGCAAAAAGAAGTTTCTTTTTTTTTCCCATAAAGAATTTGGTATAGATTATGAGTTCAGGTGAAAAAGAATGAGGGGTGTACAAATATTATGTATTCATAAAAATTAAAAATAAATTTAAAAAAATACTATTTTAACCTAAATACTGAAATGGGAGAGGACCAGGAGGTGTAACTATAACACAGTGACTAATTTAGGCATATATTTAAAATGAAAAACAAAACTCAAGCAAGAAGAACCAATGCCAACTCACTTGTCTCTACCACATCGAACTTCATCCTGCTCCTTGGATGGGTGTCGTCGCTGCCTGGTGGATGTGGTGGAAGATGCTGATGACGTTCCAGATTCGGAGTCCTCTGAACTTTGACTTCCAGAACTATTAACATCAAAAAGATGCTGTTCTACAGCTGACCGGATGGTTCTTTCTAAGAGTCTGTAAAAAAGAATACGGAGTCATTTAAGCAATCAATTTTGTCAATGACTGCCTTTAAAAATATGTGCCCATAATTTTGGAAATACTTGTATTTCCAACGGAAGATCTTCAGAACTTCATGAACAAAGGCATTAATCTAAAAAATACTTGTATCGTGTGTTAAAAACAAAATTAAACTGAACAAATTCGACCAATTTTATAACTGTGTTTCTCATCTTTGTGACTCCAGGATTACTGAAATGCTCACGGCAAGTCTAGTGACAACTATGAGGCATTCAGGAAACAAGGGTCATTTAATATAAGGAAGAATGAGGAAAAAATTTTTTTTCCTCATAGAATAATAACGGACCTATTCTTACAAAGGTGAGTTTCCTCCAAATTTCATACCAGTTCTGCAGAGAAAGACAGTATGATCTGCAAAGCAAACTAGCACAAAAAATTTTATGATGCACATTATCTGTTTAGACTCCCTTAAAGATAAAAGTACATTGGGAATAGTGCTATTTGGAAAAAAAACTCACCAGAAAAACTACAACTCATAATAGATGGCATAATCTTTCCTAATCTCGATTCAATTACACTGTGATGTATATAAGTGAAGCTGAATTAATGTAAACACCCCACGACATATTGAAGTTGGAAGGATAGATTTACTGCGTTCAATCTGAGGAAAACAGGTAAGCACAAAAGGCTGAAAAGAATGCTTGATAATATATAAATGGCATCATTTTTAAAGCTGCAGAATCTTTTAATGTGTCTCTAAACCTTCTTCTATCACCATGTTATTTAATGCTGAATAAGCTGGTTTGGAAAATTCCTAACTTATACTTCTCAAAGCATGTTTTTCTTCCTTTGAAAAAGAATCACATATATATTTGTTAAATGCTCAGGCTAAGAAGTAGCATTTACTTAAATAAAACGAGCTTTGAGAATTTAAAGAACTTAAGATTTTCCACATGCAGTTTTATAACAGACTCATAGTTACTTCATTCAAGTTTTATTAAAAATATTTTAAGACAATGAGCAAGTATAGTTTAATTAAGTATAGTTTAACTTAGGCATTAGAATTTTTATGTTTAGAACTCTGTGTCCCTAATGATTCAAGATTACCTAATAGTGGTATGGAGGAATGTGAGTAAATTAATATATGCATAAGATATATACATAATACATAAATAAGATATTCATGAGGAAACCATAAGGTCTATTAAGTCAGAGTGGCTTCCTACAACATACCAATCATATAAATGAAACTGAAATATTCATCCAGACTAAGCCCGTATCTTTTCCAAACTATACAAAACATATAAGGAAAGGTTATCGGGAAACGAAAAAGGCAAGAACATGTCAGTCTTGGTACAGTTCTAGAATCTCTTTAAAATTGACAAAGGGAAGGGAGGTCAATTCTGCCCTCTCATTGCTTTCTTACCCAACAACAAAGAAAAAAAAAAAATCCAAATCCATCCTGCTAGATTCAAATTCATTCCAATTAGTGCTGCTTCTAATTTTTCTCTTGTCCTTCTTATCACATCAATCCTCCTCACCTCCTACACCTGATCCTTGCCAAGAGCAGATGCTTCAAAAAGGCCCACACATGTCCCAGCAAGAAAGGACAAGAGGGAGGTGTGAAGGAAACACCTTTGGGCAAGGAGCTATTCGTACAGCCATTTGACAAATATTTATTTAGTGCCTAATATATGCCAGGCACTTTTCTAGGAGCTAGGAAGACAGCAATGAACAGGACAGACAAGGTTCCTCTCTTTATGGAGCTTACATTCTTGCAGGGCAAGACAGATAATAAACAAATAATGTAATTTCAAATAGTGATAAATTCTCTAAAACATCGAGTAAAGTGCTGGAGAGTGAATATGGGTAATCAGGTATAGATTCCTATAAGAGATGACATTTGAACAAAGAGTCAATGATAAGAAAGTCTGGCCACGGTGAGGAACAGCCAGTGCAAAGGCTTTAAGGCAAGAATAAACTTGGTCTAGTCCAGGAACAGGAAGTCATGTGGCTGAAGCATAATGAACAATATGATCAGAGAGGTAGGCAAGGGAAGATAACTGAAATTTAGATTTAGTTTAAGTGCAAGTGGAAACCTTTTGGAGGAAAAGACATGTGATGACATAATTAAGAGAACACCGCCACTGTCCTGTGGAGAAAAAACTTGCTGCCATCACTAATTTGCATTCTTTTCTACAATCCTATTAGATTATGAAATCCCTGAAGGCAGAGCCCAAGGCTTATTTGACGTTCTACATCTAACACTGTGCTTAGCATGCTACAGGCACTTGGTAAATGTAGGCTCGATAAAATGAACAAAGTAGGAAATAAAGACATGGCTAATACATTAACCTTTAATTACATTCTCCATTGCAAGATGCCTCCTAAAGCATAGACTATTTTGCAAATATTAATTGACCCTGACATTATTTTTAATGAAGAAAACAAAAAGCTCATATTTACAAATGTTGGAGTTGACTGTAAGCACACACATGTAGAAGCTCAAACAGGAACACTGCTTATTTAGTCCTCTCCTCTGTATAAAGTTAGTTTAAGTGTTTCTGGTTGCTTACTGTCTTAATCTTCTAATACTGTACACCATTAGAATTACTTTTTTTCTGTTTAATAATGGGAAATGGCATTAGGAAAAAAACCCAAAATACAAAAACCCAACGCAAATAACTTACTCTTCAGTTGTTGAAACACTGCTGACTTGGGATACGTGGGCACTGCAGAGAAGAAGCAAAGAGAAAGAAAGTCAGGTGAGAGGAAAGATCAGAGATGGAAAATGTTTAACCATCCACTGACAGATGCTCGTTTTCACTTGTTCCTAGAAAATGAGATGGCCTTGATTGCTTATTCCTAAACAGTGGCCTTTTCTTCTTTTTAAAGATGTCCATGGCAGATCATTCCACAGCTGATCTTGGAAAATTGTCTCTTAGCTCTCAGCCTATTGCCGCAGCCCTAGTTCAGGGTCTTTTCATTTTCCTAAAATGTTAATTCAATTGCTGCTGACTGCCTTCTCATCACCTACTCTCTGCAGTCCAAATCCATCCCCGCCCTTCACCCCTCAGGCCTGTAGACAGAGCATTTTCCTAAAACTCTGCTCTGAACATGTAGAGGGCAGCAGGGAGCACAGGCATAGAGAACAAGGAACGAAAATACTGTTTTCTGTAATACATGACTATGTTTTTCTTTCTTAAAGCTTACAGTTGCTGGATTGTGACATGACTATTTCTAAACCATCTTTTCTAAGCGACCTTCTCTTCCTAAGTTTCTCAAGATGGAAAATATCTCAAGCTTCATGTTTCATCTTAATACCTAATTTACAACCCTATTGTGGATTATTTACAAACTTACTTTATATTTACAAACTACTTTCCCATTTTCTCTAAAGCCTGAATTCTTTTAAAAGTACTAAGAAGTGGTCAACATAAAGCAGAATGATAAAATTATAAAACACTATCTGGTTAGCATCCTCCAGAACTTTCTTCCTCATGCCCACACTTATGTTCACATAACCACAATGACTGTCGAGGCTGGCAACTATTTTAATTGTATTAATAACTTCATTACATTCTCACATTCTGCCCTCTAGTGTTTAGTCAGCTTCTAAATCAAGATTTAAAAGTGTCTACGCTTTAAAAAAAAAAAAAAAAAAAAGGTTAAATATTGAGCAGATTGAAGAAAATCTTTAGTCATGTCAAACTATTTTGCCTAATAGTTCTCTTTTTTCTTCCTTCTTTGTAAAAGATGCCTGAAGAAAACCGAAGCTGTTAATGACCAATATCGATAGCTGTCTTTCAATCACTCCAAGCATCCTAATTTATACTATATAATTTTCAACATATGAATATGCTGCTTGGGAATCATCTGTCAGGTTTTTCTCCCCTGTCAGTACATATTTCTTCCTTTCAATTCAGAATCCAAGTGCCCCAAGGGATTGTATGATATTCCTCATTTTCTTTTGTCACACTACCTACCACAACCGCCATCATCGTACCCTTCATGGTACTCATTATTCCAGGGGTGATCCACAAACACTGACTCTTTAGACTCAGATAGTTTTCTTCAGTTAAAGGTGCAGCTCTTTGTCATGATCATAGACTATAGGCAAATCCCAGAAAAACCATATACAATCATGTGATTGTGCAAAAGGGAAACTGATTTGAAGAATCATCAAATAATAAGTACAAACACCCTAACACTTGAGTACTTACTATGTTTCAGACACTGTGCTAAGTACTTTTTATACAGATTTTTTTTCACCTATTGTTCACAATAACCTTATGAGGTAGGAACTATCGTTTTCCCTATTTTCAGATGAAGCAATTATAGAGGTTAAATAATTTGCCCACAGGTATGGAGGCAAGAAATAGACGAGCTGGGATTTGAACCAAGAAAAGTTTTAGCTCAGAGTCTAAGCTCTTAATCACTACACTAGGTTTGTCTTTCAATCCATTACTCACTTGAAGAAAAACACACTGGAGTCATCTTTGTATATAGAGGCCTGGACTTAGGTATTTTACTTTGCTTTTAATCACAACCATTTCTCCTCTCCCTCACAAAGCCTGTTATTCATAGTGGTTCCCAGGCTACGTAACCAACAATAAATCCTTTGCTGCTCTCTGTCTTTAACTGGAACAGGCAGTCCTTGCTGTTGATGCTTTGTGGCTCACCCTCTGTAAACTCAACACTGTATAATTAACTCCTAGACTCCACTTCTCGATGCAGTTACACAACCTTGGTTTTGGGAGCAGGGGCCAATGTGAATAATGACTCAGGGGAAACCTAGAAGAGAGAAAAGAATGTAGATCTGCTAGATGCTAAAAAACATTCCAAAGACCTATCATTAGCCAATTAGTCCCCCATGCTGTCCCAGAATGTGGAGATGTATTTCCTCTCCTCCCTTCTACACATTTTTGACCTGTTCTTCTTTTTGCCTATTAAAGCAGATTCTGATATTTTTATGTTCCTTTTTGTAGGGGAGGGTGAAGAAAGAAAGGTGAGGAAGAAAGAGACAAGGAAATGACAACAAACACAACCAGATTCCGAGATTTCTAACTTTCTAAGTGCTTCTCCAACCTTAATGTGCACAGGAATCACCCAGGACCTTTTAATACATAGACTGTGATTCAGCGGCTCTCAGTCTCGGGAAGGGGAAGCTGAGACTTTGCATTTCTAATAAAATCCTCAGTGATTCTGATGCTGTTGGTTTGTAGAAGACGCTTTGAGTAGCAAAGTTGAAAGCTCTAAATCCTTGCAACCAAAATTCTTTAAAACTTCAATTATTTAGATATCACAATAGCAATTTTTAAACATTCTAATTTAAGTAATGAAGGTATGACAGGAAAAACTCATACTAACCTTAGCGAATAAAAGTCAACATAGCAAACTTTCCCTCACAAGTTAAATAAAAATGACCTGAGCCATCTAAATCAGTTAAGAGCCTTTCTCAGAATGCAAAATCAATAAATCAGTAATAAAACCAAGTAATTAAACCATATTCATTTTTGCTAGTATATTTATTTCAGCTCAGATTTATAAGTTTATAGTTTTATGTTTTTCATAGTCCTAGAATTTCTGAAATATGTAACTTACCCATAATTTAGTGTTCTTTTAAAAGAATTTCTATATATAAAGTATTATGAAAAGAGAATATTTTCTATTGGAATCAGAAAACACAAGTTCTGGTCTTGGCTCTACAGTTAATTAGCTGAAATCATAGGCAGGTTGTTAGATTGGCTGCTTGGGGTTGGGTTCTTCATGCAGAATATGACAGGTTTGGCTAGTGATCTCTGTGGTTTTCTTTTAGCTCTAAAAGTTTATCGCATTATCTCAATTTTATTGCCCTAAAGTTTAAATCATTACAAAAGGTTATAGCTGCATATTTAGTTTTATGACATAGTATCATTTAAATTTATAGTTTATTGGATACCAAAATGGTTTTGGTCAGGTATCCAACTACCTCCATAATTCCTGCGGGATGTACTTAATTCACCAATAACAAGACTTCTAAGAATATTTAACAACAGCAATAGAGACTTAGTCCACAGCTATAGCTGACTCATGAAGGTAATTCTAAGACTCTGAGAAAAAGGCAATAAGCATTTAAACAACAGGCAAATAAGCTAAAATGAAAGATACAGATTTCCTTCATTTGCATGTAGCTTGTTTTTTTATCTTCTGCAGACAGCTAAGAATAATGAATTTTCTTCAGAGCCCTTGACTGATTTGCTAAGAAAATTTCTTACTTATGTACTACAAACACTTGGATAAGGAAAAATTCTTTTACTAATGTTGATAAAGTATTTAAAATGGAAAGAAATGAGCTCATGTGCAAATCAGCATTATGGGCAAATTCATTACTCAAGCCTACTGTTAGTGATGATGCAGCTGAATATTCTACTGGTATGGTCATTTAAAATAGGTTGTAAGCCTACTCTGAAATATATTCTATGACATATTTAAATATCTTTAGTCTTTATTTCTATTAGCAAAACCCAAACTAAATTTCCTTAAGCCAATTATGTGCAGCAATATTGGTCTCTAAAATTTGCATGTGATAAGATGCACAGATGCCTGTTGACAAGTGATTCTTTAATTAGATCTCAATGTGAAATAAAGAATACATTTAAAAAGAAGTTCCAAATCTATAAAAACCAGACATCTTGAAAAAACATGTGTTCTGTTTTTTCCGTGTTCTCTTATTTCAGTATGTTCTCCTCTGTGGCATACAAAATCCTGCCTGTAATATATTATTGTTTAATGGGAATCATGAGGTTTAACAGGATTATCAGTATTTTCTAGAATATAACATTTGCATTTACTCCATTTTTTAATAAATAAGGATTAAAAAGACAATTATATGATATTTGTTTAAATAACCTAAGGGTGAAGATCATGTAACTTAATCATCAAAATGGCATGAAATTCTTAAATTGTCTATTTAACAAAATACAGTATTTTTAGTGTTACCTTAAAATAGTAAAAGTTCCAAGTCTTCCAGGCTTGGAACCCCTTTTTGCAAGGAAAAATATTCAATTCTCAACAAGCTGTGGAAATGCCTTTTGTGATTTCATTGCCACTTGCTTTTCAGCTTCTTCATTGCTGGCATAAGCAAGCTACTGTTAAAATGGCAAAGCTGTGTCAATAGTTTAGGTGCATACTTTGATTAACTATACTGCTTCTTGCTTGAGATATAATAAACTATACTTGATTAGAAATTGGACATTTCATATTTAATTACCTAGTATCTACATAGTCTGGCTTCAGAGTGTGCCCTTAATAAGGACACAATCCTTATTCTCAAATAATGCTGCTATTTACATAAATTTTTGGCTATACATTTAGTTATTTCATTAGAATTAGAATAGATTAATAAAAGTGCTTTTTCAAATTCAAATGAAATTTTCTCCTCAAAATTTACATATTACAGAAAATTTTTTATTTCATCTAGATTTTCATGTTTATTAGTTTAAAATTGCATAAAGTATTCTCTAATCTTTATACAATTTACTATACCCCTTACAGAAAACTTTAATTCTGCTCATTAGCATTGTCCCTTTTTTCCTTAAGTTTAGAGGTTTTTCTATTTTATAATTTTCATTTTTACTCCCAAAGAACCAGCTCCTGGATTCAAACATCAGTTCCGCTCTTTTTCTATTTTCTTTCATTATTAAATTCTTTTACGTTTCTAAAAGGTTGCTTTTTCGTCCTTTTTATAACT